GTGCCTGATCCAGAGACTGACACCCTGACTGATACTGTCACACTGACCGACAGCCTAACAGATTGAGCACACCCTGACTGAGTGCCTGATCCAGAGACTTGACACCCTGACTGATACTGACACACTGACCGGCAGCCTCACTGACTGTTGTGTGTTGTGAAGTAATGTACCATGCTGTCCAGCTTGTGTGTATCAATGCCCCTCTCTCTCTCTCTCTTTTTCTCCAGATCAGTACATCATTATTGGTGCCCAGCGAGACTCTTGGGATCCAGGGGCAGCCAAGTCGGCTGTTGGCACTGCCATCCTGATGGAGCTGGCCCGTACATTCAGCGCCATGGTCCAGAACGGTCAGTCTCCTGCACCTGTCACTGGGAGAGCTCACCTACCATCGCCCTCCGCTTGCCAGCACAGCACACTGCACTCACAATCTCTCTCACAACCTTTCTTGCTGATTTTATTGTTTATTTTCGACATTTTCATTTCCAAGTCCAGTTCACATGCAGTAGGTACTGTATCTCAGTTCGTCTCAGCAACTCTTGTGCTGCTCAGAGAGAGGACAGGCAGCCCCACAGTGCCTTGCAGGACAGCACCCCTCACAGATGAGAGCTGTTGTGAGGCTCCTCCTTGCTGTGGCTCCTCTGGTGCGCCTCCTCTTGGGGAACTGGGGTCACAACTGGCCAGTGACTCAGGCTGTCCCTTTTCTTATGTTTTTCCCTCTCTTTCCATCTCTCCTTGGCTGCTCTCCCTCAGGGTTCCAGCCCAGGAGGAGTCTGCTGTTCGTCAGCTGGGACGCAGGTGACTTTGGCAGTGTTGGCGCCACCGAGTGGCTGGAGGTAGGAACTGCGGTTTAAAGGCTGCTTTTTTTTTAGGTGTGTAGCTGTGTACTGTATATGCTCCATTAAGTCTTAGACACAGAACTGGGCGGGCCCTCAGCGAAGTTCCCCTGGAACACATCAGAATATCATGTCTGGTTGACCATATATACCACTGCATTGTGTTGGCGAGTCCTGCCCTAGAAATTAGTATCAATATGTCTGTGTCACAGTGGCACAGGTGTTGTGACCATTGCCCCCTTTTTTTGTCAGGGTTACCTGTCCATGTTGCACCTGAAGGCAATCGCCTATTTCAGTCTGGACCGTGCAGTTCTGGGTAAGAAGAATCTCCTTTCCTTTCCTTTTCTCTGTTTCTGCCCTCCCTCCTTTTATCCGCCTTCCTCTTCCTCTTCCTCCATTTCTGTCCACCACTAGCCCCTCCCTCTGTCCTCACAGACTGTTCACTCCCCCAGCCCCGCCTCCAGCTCCTCCTCCTGTCCTCACAGGCTGTTCACTCCCCCAGCCCCGCCTCCAGCTCCTCCCTCTGTCATCACAGGCTGTTCACTCCCCCAGCCCCGCCTCCAGCTCCTCCTCCTGTCACCACAGGCTGTTCACTCCCCCAGCCCCGCCTCCAGCTCCTCC